ATTTCTCTTTCCTAATTGCTGTGGCTAATGTTCCCTGAACTATATTGAACAGGAGTGGTGATAGTGGGCATCCTTGTCTTGTTCCTGATTTTAGCTTGAAAGTTTTCAGTTTTTGACCATTTAGTATGATGTTGAAAGGTCCACGAGTTTTATAATTTTTTAAATCAGCTTTGTTATTTAAAGAGAAGCACTGTAAAAAATTGGGTACTTCCAAAATCATAAACCATAGGAAATCTTCCCTTTGAATAGGAGCAACTATATTAGATGGTTATATAAATGAGAAATACAATTTTATTAGGTTAAGATACTGATGTTTCATAGTTCAGCAAGCCACAAGAGCTTCTCATACTCCAATTTTGTACCATTCATGTTAGTCCTTAAACACTTGACCCTCCACATTTTCAGAGAGCATTTCTTATCTTTCCCTTTCTCTGTTATGCTCTCTTTTCTGTTTTTCTTTTCTTGGGTTGGGTTAAGTAATTTTTCTTTAGTTGCCCATGATATCTTGCACTATTCTCTATTATTGACCAGTCAAATGTGTTATACTTATTGGTTTACGTGCTCAATTCTCTTATTAGACTAGGAGTTCCTTGAGGACAGGAATTTCTACACATGAACAATAGCCCCTAGAACCATACTCATGGTCTGGGGAATAAAAATGATCAAATATCATTTTTAAATTAGTATTATTTCATAGCAGTGGCATACAGAGAGAATAAGAAGACACATGTGTGACAAGATATGATTTAACACTATCGCTCATAATCTTAACCAAACCTTTTCCTTTCTTGAACTTAAATATTTTCATGCATAAATTGGGAATATTAATACTATTTTCCTAGCTTGCATGGCAAAAACATATGATAAAATATAAGAAGAACTTCATAAACTTCCTAAATCATAGCTGACTTTCAAAAGATAGTATTTGTTATCATAGTTAATGCTCATAAAATATTTGTTGAATTAATGGAGTAACCAATTATTTGAGAGCCTCTTGCATTTCAAGCATCATTTCAGGACCCAGAAATATTTCAATGAACAAAGCAGTGACAGTGGTCTAGCATTCTAGGAATTTATACTTTAATAGAAATTTCTCCATCTGACATCTGATATCTCCAGATGTCAGATGGAGAAACATAAAGCAGATTAGCAGAACAGAGAATGCTAAGGTAGGATGGCTCTTATAAATCTTGTATGAATTTAAGCATTACAGAAAAAGCATTCCAATAAGGTGATATTTAAGCAGAGATGTAAAGGAAGAGAAGGAGTGATAGATGAGAATACCTAGGGAAAATATTCCAGGTAGAGATCAGTAATTGTGAACATCTTTGAAGCAAGAATATGCTTGGTAAGTACACAAAATAGCAAGGAGGAAAGTGTGGCTAAACCAGAGTGATCAAGGGAAAGGGTGATAAAGAATAGGGCAGAGAGGTGGAATGTAAAGAGAAAGACTATTTAGAACCTTGTAGGCCATCATGAAAGGACTTTGTGTTTGTTGTTTGTTTTGATTTAAGGGAAATGGGAAGCCCTTGAAGGGCAGTTCTGAGCAGAGAACTGTCAAGATATGATTTTCATTTCAGAAGGATCACTCTGGAAAGGTGTAGAATAAGTTGTTGTGAATGTATATGGGAAAGAACAGGGAAATCAAGGCTACTGGTTAGGAGTTGTTATGGCTTAGATCTGAAATGTCTCCCAAAATGTTTGAAGGTGGGGCCTGGGCACAAGGGGCATCACTGAGTATCTTAGTTACTTTTCTCTTATTGCTGAGACAAAATACCCGACACCCAAAATTAAAGGGGGAAAGGTTTATTTAGCTCACAATTTGTAGAGGTTTCAGTCCACAGTTGGCTAGTTCCAAGGAAGAGTGCCACATGGAAGAGGGACGTAGCAGAGGAGGAACAGGTAATTGCACACAGAAGACAGCAAAAGCAACAAAGTAACTTAACAGCATCTTTTTGCCCCTTTTATCCAGACTACTAGGATAGGTAGTACTCACTCCCTTAAACCTAGTGCCCTTGAGCCTAGCATTGCACTATGAATCAATTCCAACATCACATACTCTAAATCCAGCTACCTCTGAAAAAGCTCCATCTATGACCACATGAAGCTTTGAGGGGACATCTATATACAAGCCACAACACTGGAGGCATGAGTTCCCCATGCCAATTTGCCAGGCCATTTCTCCCTTACAGCCAGTCAGCCAAGAACTGAACCCACAGGCACTATGAGCTAAAATTAACCTCTCCTCCTTTAAATTGCAAGTGTAGGATGTTATGGCCCAGTTACAGGAAATTTACTAATACTACAGGCTATTTCAAGAATCCAGAGGAGACATAATGGTTTGGAATGAGAAGGTAGAGATGAAAGGGATGACAGTGATTAGGAATATGGTTATATTTGATCATAGAATCAAGACAATATATTAGTAAATTGGATGTTAGACAACAAAGAGAGATGATTGCCATTTACAGAAATGAGGGAGGCTACGGGAAAAGTAATTTTAAGGATTCAAAATTTTAAATCTAACTTTGGATAAGGTGTATTACATATGCCTATGAGGTATCCAAGCCAATATTTTCAATCAGCAATCAAGCATATTATTCTGGATTGCAGGAAAGAGGTCCAAATAGAGTAATCAGCTGGCATATGGCATTCTAAGCCACATTGTGACTGGATGAAATCATTAAGGAAGTAATACTTCTGGAGAAATGAAGAATTGAAAGAACAAACTCTGGGATACTTCAATGCATTGGGATAGAGGAAAAGAAAGAGAACTAGCAAAATGAGATCTGTAAAGAGAACTTTAAGAATTGTTTTCCTAAAGCCAAAGGAAAAATGAAATTTGAGTAAGTATGAGTGGTCAATTTTGTTTAAAGCTCCTGTTATTACATTATTATGATGAATGCTGACATAGAACACACTTGTTTTCAAATACATTAGTCAGCAGATGTGCCTCACTCTCACCAGATTCTTCTTCTATCAAATGTAGATATGAATTTCTGAATACTATCCTAGTTGCTATAGGTCACATAAAATAATAGCTATGGGACCTTTGGTAAATGCTTTACTGTTCAAATATATATCACCTATACTCACTGATACCAATTTTATGCCATCTTGACTTGGAAAATGGGTACAGAGACAGCACAATGCACTGCTATTTTCTGCCTTGGACAGACCCAAGACTGGTGAGTGTCTGTGAAGACATGTCAACAGTGTCAAATATTTAGCTCTGGTAGAATTTCTAGAGCACTGCAGTAGCACAGAGGAGAGGCCAGGTGAAAGGAGTTAGTAGTAAAATGGCAGTTCCCAGTCACCACAAAAACTGGGTGGGAGAAAAGATTCTTGAGAGCTTGTTTCTGGGCCATAAATCATGGAAGTGGCAGCCAGCCCCTGAAATGTCAGTCATTTTTATCTTCCTAACCTTCGGACTCCCTTGGAGCATCAGCTTTGTTAGCTGAATCAATACTTTCTTCTTGACCCAAGTAATTGATTTTCACAATACCCTTTGTCACAGACAGAAGATCAAGAAGTAGAAATGCATAAAGACTGTTACACTGTGAGGCAGCAAAGGACAGCAAGGGAGAGCTATTTAATGACAGAAGAGGACTATAGGGTATAGTGAGCACAGGGCTTGGGGGAGTTGAGGAGGGGTTAACTGAGGCCTCCATCCCAGGAGGCTCGCAGCATTACTAGATGGTGTTGCTATCAGAAGGAGGGAAGGATTTGTATTGAAAAGGCCAGGAATAGGAGGCCAAAAAAGTCAGAGAGGAAGGGAAATACACTACAGTTCCAGCAAGTGACAACAAAGGCCAGAACAATGGCAGTCAGTACAGTTCAAACTTTATACACAGGCTTAGGATGCCTGGGTCCCTGTTCCACAGCCCACTTCACTTTAGAGCAGGAGATACTTGACAGCCATGTACAAGCTCTGCATATCCAAGCCCCTGGTAGGAAATTCCAGGTATTCCAAGACCTGTGAACTTCAACTCTGGCTGCATATGAAAATAATCTAGGGGATTTAAAAAACACAAAATCCTGGGCATTGATTGTGATTAAATGGAGGAGGAAGCAGGTAATTGGCATTTTTAGAGGATCTTAGGTATACCAATGTTCAGCCAGTGTCAGGAAACAGCATCATCTAGCCTAAAAAGGGATTTGAGGGAACTTAAAAGACCCTTGATCTTGATACCTCATCTATTCATTTATTCATTCATTCATTCATCCATCCATCCATCCATCCATCCAACAAGTCTTTAGTAGTTTTACTAAGTACAACAGCCTTGAATTAAAATCACAACCCAGATACTTAGCATCTTTGTAACTTGGGGCACATTATTTCTCTTAACTTCAATTTCTTTAAAACTAAACTAATAATGTTGCCTACTTCACAAGGTTATTTACAAGATCACCAGAAATTACATGCTAGAAATGCTTTAAAATAATAAGGACTCGATGCTCATACAGTTTTCTACCTTTTTCTTAATGAGTTGGAAAGAAGGAGAGCTAGTTTTGGGAGAGGAAGCAGATAAATAACAGTCGCTCAGTGACTCAGGATATCACTGGTCATTGTGCTTCTGTCTATATAACTAGAGAATTAGAACTTTCCTTTTTCTTGGGTTTATGTCCTCACCAGTACCCAATCTGTGTGGACCTGGAGTTCTGCCTTGCTCTCAGAAGTCATAGGATCTCAGTGCTAAGGCCCTGCTACCTACTGATGCACAGAACTGCTTGACTTTCTGCACAGGCCTGCACTTGGGAGCACTGGAGTAGTGCAGACTGGAGTGAGGTGGACTTATGTTGAAGCAAATTATGAGTAACACTGGACCTCTACTTCTTCATTTGTACATTGGCCATATGATTACTGATTCAGCTCACTGATTATAGAGTTAAGTATTATGGATTTGAATCATGATTCTGCCACTACTTCTGGTTGTAAAATAGAAATAATACTAGTATGCACCTTACAAGACTGTTGCAAGGTTAGAACTATCCATTTAAGGGGCTTAAATACTATCTAGCATGTTGTAGGCTATTAATTAATATTACCTGTTGTCATAAGTTTTATCATACTGTTTGCCTCTTTGAATGGTTGTGGAAGCTTATGATCAGCTGAGCAGCCCAGCTGACAATAAACACAAAAACACAGACAGCTAATTAATCCATTAAAGCAGCAGCTTCAATGACAGCTGGGAATGTGTACAAATCATGTTGTTTTTTTAAACCTGTCATCACACACAGGATAATGGCTCCCAGGCAGGCCCAGTATTCTGTATGATATTCCCAGGAACTCCCACAGGGGTTTCAGGTGGCATGAAAGATGGAATCTTTACCAGAGCTTTTCAGAGAAGGGGAAATAAATTACCTTACAATGTCCCTTCTGACTCAGCCTGTGCCTCTGGGGCTTACCATGTGGCTGTTTTGTGCCCTGAATGCTTAACTATAGAGGACTGAATAACAGGCTAAGGTCTAAGCTCATTGGCTGACTTAGTAATGATCATTGTTGATAATCACATTCTTACAAATAGCATCTTATAGTTTACAAAGTCCTTTTGTACATATCATTTTATTTGATTCATTCATTCAGTCAGTCACTGAACATTCACTCTTTACTATGGCCCAGGATCTGTGTAAGGTAGTAGTCAACAAAATATTCTGTTTTAATGCTGAGACTATACTAGCAAACTAGATTCTGCATGTCAATCACAAAAGCCCCCAGAAGTTGACAATCAAAGTGGAGAGTTGGAGCAGATCAAACAGTAGGTAGGCCAGGCACAGATCTTGTGATGGAACCAGGGTGTGTGCAGGGAAGAGTATAAACAAAAGGGTGATAGTTCTATCTAGAAAGAGCTGAACAAGAAATGCTTTATACCTGCAAAGTGTAACTTAGGGCTGACTCCAGTTCCAACTGATCCTGCGGCCATATCTGAGTCAGGGTGCCACCTGGTTTTCTTAGACAAGGGAGGCTTACCCATGTGCCTAATCTCTGAATAATGTCTACCCCTTGGTTTGTATAAATCTCTGCACCATATTCTCACTGCTCCTATAAGGTTCAGAATAGGAATAATAATGTCTACTCTTGAATCCCACAGAATTACTGAATGCTAATTGAGATCATGGATACAGAAATAATGCCATTGATATAAAGGACACTTTATTGAATTTCTACTATGTACCAGACATCAGCCACTTCATGAAAATTTTGTTCATCTTCACATTTTTTCTACAAATAAATATAAAGGCCTCCATTTTACAAGTTCAGTGACTTGACCAAGGTCATATAAGTAATAACCAGTAGAATTTTCTACTGTAAATTTATTTTATTATTATGTGGTTCTTTCCTCTATTTCAAACTGCCTCTCCAAAGTGAAAATATATATACTCATACATTTAAAATTATAAATGAAGTGTATGTGGTTTGGCAGGTGCTAAATAAGGCATTTTATCCAATGTAAAACTCAGAAGGAGAGAAAGGTTGTAATGACAAATTTCACCATAAAGGTAACTTGTTTTTAGTCAGGTTTCCTGGGCCATCCACTCATACATATGTAGCGATATTTTGCTACTGGTCTTCATTAAATTACCTCATAGTTCCTAACAGTTTAAGGTTTTATAACTAAGCTGGAGTAATGCTTTTAGAGTAGTGAATAAGTAAAACAATTACCCAGAGTATCTTTCCAAAAGAATTAAAAGAATCATACCACAGTGATATATGTGCACCCATGTTTATAGCAGCATAGTTTATAATAGCTAAAACTTAGAAACAGCCCAAATGCCCATCAACTGGAGACTGGATAAAGAAGATGTGGTTCTTCTATAAAATGGAGTACTCAGCCATAAAGGATTAGAAACTAGAGACATTTATAGCTAAATGGATGCACATTGAGGTCATACTCTTAAGTGAAATAAATAGGACATACATGTGTAAATACCGAATAATTTCGCTGGTGTGAAAAACTAAAAGCGTAAATAAGGTTCAAATGGTATAATTGATAATGTGAAATAGGAAGAAAAGGTCTAAAGGAGTAGGGGAAGTGGGAAGGGTAGGGAAAAGGAAAGAAGGGAAAAGAAAAAATATGAGAAAAGGAAAAAATGGAAATAAAGTCTTTGTAAATAGGGAAGTGTGGAGGGGATGAAGGTAGGGAGGGAAATGGGGAAAAAATAAGAACCAAAATATATAATGTAAAGGTACAAGATCCCAATGATCAATGTAACTGTATTGTATACCTAAAATGTACCAATAAACTTAATGAAAAAGAAACAATTACCCAGATAATTAAATTTCAAACAGACACACACACGCAAACACACACACACACAGAGGGAGAGGGAGATGGAAAGGGAGAAGGGGGGGAGAGAGAGAGAGAGAGCCCTTTATTTGGCTCTTGCTTTATGTTGACAACTTGGAAGAAGACAAACATTTGGTTACACACCCAAAGATAATTTTGTCAATTCTTGATCACAAGAAAGACAGGTATATTACCAGCAAGCATAGGCTCTTGTTTTTGTTTTAATAGTAAGATTTATTTCTCTTGCTGAAGTTCAGGGACAGATATCATAGTTATATTCCCTTAGGAGGTGCCTAAAAGCATTGTGTGCCTTTCAAAGGCTGTAAGAAACACAAACCTAGGGCCGGGAATTTACCTCAGTGGTTCCAACGCCTGCCTTGCAAGTGCAAGGGTCCAAGTTCAACCCCCGGTACCAAAAATAATAAATAAACACAAACCTCTGGCTAAATGCTAACACCACAACTTAGGTAGGCAATGCTCACGGGTCTCATTTCTAATAGCCTGAAGTCTGTAAATGTACAGAATATCAGGGTACCAATGAGAGGCTTCATAGCTGTGTCAAAGTTCATGTTTTCTTCCTCTTCCCTTATCCTTTGTTTTTCCTATGAAGTTTCTGAATATACTCATCTCAAAATGCCACAAAATCCCCCCTTTTAAATATTTTCCCTAAGTGAATACATTTTCTCTTTACTTCACACATGTGCCATCATAGAGTTGTCTAAAATTATGCTTCCACTTCCCCAGTTCCTTCACCTTCCTAGTCTGGACTTTATTTATTTAACATTGTTTTGGTATTTGATACTTTTCAACATTCTCTTTTTAAAATTTCCTCCACTTTGCCTTCATAGGCATTCCTCTATCCATGTTTCCTTCCTCCTCTTCTGACTGCTCTATCTCAACCTTCTTGAGTGGTTCTTCTTAATTTGCTCATCTCTTCAGTTCTACTATTTTCAAAGAGTCAGTCTCTCAACTTTAAATTTATCCATCCATTCATCCATTTATCTATTATATACCCAATAAATATCTAATTATTCAGACAAGATCCTGGAACTCAAAGAGTTCATTATTTAGTGGGGAGGCAGACACATGAACATACAATCTCATACAGCTTTAGTCACTGTCTGGCAAAGGTCATGCAGTCCAGTGACGAAGACAAAATTAGCAGGGACCTTTGGCTTCTTTTACTGTAAACCTTACATCTGCCTATTTGTACTCATTTTGAGAGCTTATGAATACACAACTCAGATTGTCATGTCAGACTTAAATTTCAAAAAGAATAATCACTTAATATTAAAATAATCCTATTAGTTGGGATCTCTTGGTCCTTGATAGTATATTGTACTTAGGAGGCATACATGCACTATAGCAGAAAGATTTTAGTTATTTTCAAAAGAAAACAGATTATAATTTTAATTCTGTCTTCATTTTTAACTAGCTGTGTTATTTCAGACAAGTTACTCAAATACTCTGATCTTCATTTTCCTTATCTCTAAAGTGAACATATTTTAATTACAGAATTTTAATGAAGATTTTCTACAAGAAGCATGTCTTGTACAGTTCCTACAACTTAGTGTTTAGAATGGACATCAGCCTAAGTTTTCTCCTATTGTAAATGTGGGGTTAATTAAAAAGAAGATAGAATGTGGGCAATCAATTGTATATCTGTTCAGGAAATAAGGCACGATGCATTGCAAAAGGGGCTCAGGTTAGCATTGTTTTAAATACAAATCCTAAATTCCCTTTCAATTTCCTTGTTCAAAGCACTTACGAGGTGCTTTCTGTACTTCTGCTAATGAAGTCATTCTCAAAATCACTTTCAGACTATTGCTCAATAATAAACTAACTACATGATAATATACACACCCAAGCCCCCAAATCGGGTGAGTTTTTAAGATCAGAATCCATATAAACAGTCATTGAGAGTCTTAAGGGGGTCATTTGCAGAGATTGGATTTCTCCAAAAGAAAAGAATATATCCGTTTTATTCTCTTTATTTTGCCAGCTCATCAAGAAGAAAACGATGGAAAAAACCTCTAATGCCTATGGTACAATTCATCATGAGGAATTTTATAGCAGAAAAAATGTTTTCAATTTATAATGGCAGTAATAAGTGACATTGGGCAAAGGCTGCAAGAGATTTTTTTTTCTACCAGGAGTCAGCTAGGAATAGAAGATGGTTGTAATCATCACTCATCCCTGGATTCTGAATGTTTAAAGGCATCTTACACAACAGCATGAATTTTATTACCCTACTATATACCATGCAGAAAAACCAACGCTATAGCCTGCATGCCTTGTTCATTATAGCTGAGTCCAATTAAGGCCACATGGTGGGTAAAGGGGAGGACCTTCTTGTCAGATCACCAGGGCTTACTTTAACAAGTCCAACAAGGTCAGTTGTATAAAGGGACTGGTGTTTTCATATTTGGTTTAAAATATGTTGTTTTCTAAAGTGGCTTTAGCACTAAAAAGAAAACACACACACAGACACATACACACACACACACACACACACACACAGCTACCTCTTCATTTGGCAGAATTTTCTACAGAATAAAATGCAATAGTATAAAACTCACTGAGCAGTGTTTTTAAAATCTACTGTATTCCCTTGTTTTCCACAGTCTTTAATTCTGTTTATTGATTCCACAGGATGGGAAGTTACCTGTGAATACTTATCATTACCATCATTATCATCATAATTGTGCTGCCTCGCCCTCATCACCCCATATATCATTCATTAAGTTTTCTACACTTAATCAAAAACTCAAATCAACAAATATTTCTTGTACAATAATACACCAAGCATTAAAACACTGTAAAACTATTATTATTATTTCATGTTCCGTATTTTCAAGACAAGAAGCTATTAATAGAGTAAACAGATGAATAATCACAACACTGCATATTTGTATATATGTTCTGCTGAGGGTATACTAGGTAAAAAGATTCAGAACTAGCAGAAAGGGTTAATATGTAGCATAAAGGTACTGAGATACTGCTTCCTGGAGAGGTTGTTCTTTTGAATTGTAATAGATAAGTGGGCATAATGGGTACAAAGGAAGGTCTGGGGCAGAAAAAGGAATAGAATGTGTAATTGTGAGATGGCATGACATAGATATATAATAGAAGGCAACTGACTTTAGCTGAAAGGAAAACCTAAAGCATTGATTAACTTACTGTAGGTAATGTGTTAGTCTGTGTGTTCTGAGATCATAGATATGAAAAAAAAGTACAGCTATTGATCTCAAAGAACTATTAATTCACACTTAGGGAAACACTTTTCATGCCATGTCTTCTTTGAGATGCAAGGTAATGGACTCAACTTTGTTGTTTGTTTCTGCTTTAAGGGTTTTTTGGTGGTCTTTGTCTTAATTCTTTGACAAACCTACATAAAGAAAGAGAGTAAAATATGTAAAACTCTGGGATCAAAAATCTTACCATCAGAAGGATCAGGAATGACTCAAAGAAAAAAAAATGTTCTCAGGGGTCAAAGGAATAGTAGGAAAGCCAAAGTGCTGGAGCAGAGCGATGGAGAATAGTGGGCAATAAACTAAGAGAGCAACTTAGGGACCAGGTCACGTGAGGCCTCTGCAGCCATTTAGTAAAAACTCTGGATTTTGTTCAAGACACATTTTATGTAATTGAAAGCTTGCTAATGGGGAAGTGAAATTGTCATCTTATTTTTAAAGGAGCAAGCTGGCTGCTTTGTGGTGCACAGACTGCAGGGAGACAAAAGTGAAGGATTTGTTAGGAGAGGTATTTTAACAGACTAGAGATAATTGGGGCTTAGGTAGAGAAAGAAATGTTTGAAATTAGTACATATTTGAATATCATTATCTAACCATCCATCACCTATTTTATATGACTCCTCAGATGCCTGAACTGTTCATTCTGCACATGAAGAAACTGAGGCCTAGAGGGAGAAGGACTTATTCAAATAGGTCCACAGCAAAGATGGACTTAGGATCCAGATATTCTGCCTCTCCCTTGGTATTTCAAATTTTCTACCATGTTCTTCCAGCTCCAGTCAATTCTATTGTTTTTCAAACACCATCCTCATGGTGGCATTTTAAGAAAACCAGACGGCATTTAGCAGCAAGCCTGCCTAGCATCAAGAGAAACCGGGGCTTCGATGTACTCCAATTGGAGCGAAGATGTGTGGAAAATACCAAGCAAATGTTTGGACTTGGAATCCAAAATAACATGTACTTAACTTTGCAATTTGAAAAGCTAAATTCAAACATGTGTCTTGTTGGTTTTCAGAAAATACAGAATCTTCTAACATAAAATTAAATAAACACCAGCCCAAAAATGTGGTCCCTTTTTCCCCTCTCTCCTTCCAGAGATTTTTCTAATTCTTTCCAAATTTTGTTTTACCAATTTGGGGACTTTGCATATGCTTGTTCTATATGAGGCAACTTTTTTATACTGGCTAATACTATAATACAAAAAGATCGCTCCTTATTTCCTAGTTCCTTATACACGGTTAGTGCTCTGGTCCTTTGCTCATGGTATTTCTCTGCCTACCTGTTTCCTCAGTACCCTCTACGTGTCTGAAATATAATCTCTGAAGACTCCTTCTTGAGTGGCTGTTCGACAGTTCTTCCTGTCATTCAATTGAGTGCTTTATTCCCCTTAAATCTCTTTGCAAAGATAGCTAAGAAATCTTCAACTTCTTTATCTTTATAGTAAAAATAAAAGTATTTTTACTTGCCTTGTGGAGATTTATAAAGATTATATGAATGGATATCTGTAAAATAATTGGAAAAGAGTAAAGTCTTCAAACATTAGTACTAGTTTGTCTTCCTTTCTTCCTTCTTTCTTTCTTAAGGCTTTAGATCAGAATATCCTTTTTTGTTGAGCAAAGGAGGTGCCTCAATCATATAAATGCAATAGACAAACATTTACCCTCAGCTTCTTGATGCCCAAAGAGTGATAGCTAGATAAGTATCAACCTTCAGCATCTAGAGCCAGCCCAGGGCCTGTTTCCTGGCTAGGCAACCCTATAATCACACTTAAGTCTTACTTAGTTCTCAATGACTCTAATAACCAAACTCTGGGAGGGGGGAGGAAGTGGAGGGGGAAGGGGTGGAAAGGTGGGACAGCATGGGAAGGAGAAGGGGAAAGAAGGAGAGAGGAAGCAAGGGAAAAATAAAACCTCTGGTATCTCCTCCACAAAATGGGTCTAGCTGTGCTACCTCTTACTTCAACCCCAAAAGCTCTTCTTTGACTAGTTTCATACTAACATGAGATTTTGTTGGGCTAAGTGTTTACTTCTTTTCTTTAAAGAGCTTTGAAATAACTTCTCTGGTTCAAATCCTTTCTTTAAGAATTGTAGAAGCTAAAATGCAGAGAACAAAAAAAATCAGCCCAGGGATATACTGTGGATCAGCCTTCCAAAGCCAGGTGTAATAAATTCTAGACATAGGATAAACTATTTCCTGAGTATCATTCCTCCTTTGTCTATCTCCTAGGAGGTTTTCTTTTCATCAAGTGAATTAATGGTCTAACTCTTTGGATACATATTATTTCCAGAACAAATGGCTGTAGTTTTGCTCTTTTTGGCTCATTCTCCTGGATGATTCAAATCTCAGCCTCATGAGGAAGAACCTTTGGATTTCTGGCTCCAATCAACACCTTAAACTCATTTTGGGTCACTTTATATAAATTGCTACTGACTGAGAGATGTTTTCTCCCAAGCCAAAGGAAAAAATAAAAACTATCAACATTTCAATAATAGGCCCTGAGACTTTTTTTTCCCCATTAAGTTTACTGGTACATTTTAGGTATAAAATGCAATTACATTTATCACTGGAATCTTGTGCCATTACATGAGTATCTTGGTTCTTAATTTTTTCCCCATTCCCCTGCCCTCCCTACACCCCCTCCACCCTTCCCTATTTGCAAAGATTTTGTTTCCATTTTTTTCCTCTTCTCATATTTTTTCTTTTCCCTTCTTTCCTTTCCCCTACCCCTACCACTTCCCCTGATCCTTTATACCTTTCTTCCTATTACACAATATCAATTATACACTTTTTAAATTACAATATCAATATCTAGGAGACATTACCACAGATTTTACAGAATTCAAAAGGATATAGAAAACATATTACAAAATCTTTTTTGAAATAAATTTGACAACTTCTAAGAAATACCTTGGAAGACAAATTAATGAAACTAACTCTGGAGAAAATATAAAATTTGAATAG